TATTTTTTACGAAAACATTGTAATTGAGTATAACTTTTTGTATTGCAATACTACGAAAAGCCGGTCAAAACATTTATCAGAAATGATTATATTGGATAAAGACGATCGGAGAATAAGAGAGATGAAATCGTAAATCTTCAAGGGAAAAACTTGAAATCTTTGCTTTCAGATTGCGTTTGGATGGACAAAACGGCTGGCGATCGTCTTGACTACAGATGCAGAAAAATTAGAAAAGAAAGCTTAAAGCTAGATACATTAAGAAATGTAACGGTCCGATCGGCAAAGCTTTTCGTTTTATTAAGAGAGAAGAAAATCAAATCCTATCTCACTATAACTTCGCTTGAAAACGGGTTTTTCCAGAGAAATGAGTCAATGCGATATCGGGCAATGAATTAACATACGTCGGCCTCGCGATTGATCGAAGGTAGTCGCGCACCGATTTAATCTTCGCACTCTGCACTCCGCCGTGCGATCGCGAGAGAGGCGACGTGAGCACGTTCATGTATTCCGAACGATAGATTCGCGAAGATCGCGAAGGTTATCTGGATGCGCACGTGGAGTCCTTCATCGACGCCACGAAGTCACGAGGATAAACGGAGACGCGCGTGGCTCGTCGCGGTATCGATATTCCCCTTTCATTGACCTGCGCTGAATCGAGCAAATGACGAAGAGAGAATCGTTACGTTCTCCATGTTCTGGATCAATGACCGAACAAGTGCAATCTCCGACTCGCACGAATTCGAGTGCATCGGCGTACACGCATGACGTTGCGCTGCGAGAGAAACTTATCGAAGTGCGAAAAATTGAGATAGTCGCGCCTGCGTCGCGATTATTACCACGTCGGATAAATTCAATGTGAGTTGATGCAGTTAATTACACAATTAATTGGCAAAAGTGGAAAGTTTTAACAGAGCCACGATCGGGCATGTTTTAATTTTTTTGATGTCTCGCGAAATAATTTATATTAAGATAAAAAAAACATTTAATTTGTATTTAATAAATACTATATATATGGTATATATATATGTAATATATAAAATTGAATTTATCTTATATATACATACATATGAATATAATTATATATATATATATATATATAATTGGATAAAAATAAATTTTTTTATGCAAACTTACGGAAAATGTTTGACGTATTTTTACGGAAAGAAAAGGGTATTATCATTATTTTTATCGCGCATTGAAATACGACTTCGATCCTATCGTTTTTGTAAGATTGACGCTGACGTTCGCTTTAGCGCAAAATGCTAATTCCGTGGAAATTCCACGTTTGTAGACAACGACTCGAGTTTTGGCGAGTCTAAGCGACTTCTATCACCCGCTGGAGACGGACAGAGACGTAAACTGAAACGAACACGTTACATTCGTTCAAACGCGTAACGAAAACGATTCCGTCTGCTGTTGCATAAAGTGATCCGACTCTGGAAGGGATATCATAAATCAATTTTAGTTAGATAATCAGATTCCTAAAACTGTTTTCCTGTAACCCGTGTCCACGTGTCTTATTACTCCTGCGACACGTGATGAACATATAAACACGCCTTGGCTATTTTTATAATCGATCCAGTATTTTATTTCATAAAAACATGATTATACGAAATTAAGAAAAATATTAAGATAATCTTTTTCGAGTAATCGTTATCTTTAAAATATTCGAAATACGTTGTTTAATTTCTTATCGTTTTTATCGTATACTATTTCGGCGAAACCTTTTCAATGATTCATAAGTGTCAAATCGCATTATGTTTTACATGATGGCGAGTTTCTTATATCGCCTAAATCTTCTCAAAGAGAATCGGAGAAAAAAATAACTGTCTGATAAGTCCGTTCAAGAAGTAGCGGAGAGAAAAGAAACTGCTATCTTTTTATCGGTAACAGTGAAGACACATGCAAACTCTGTGCTGACCATTTGTATTCGTATATCGTGTAAACGTCGTTTCCTTACGGGTTTCCTTTATCGAATAGACAACGTACCGAACAAACAAATGTATTCGTATTGTTCGAAAGACGTTGCTTTTATGCGAGCAGCACGAAAATTCATCCCCAACTCGCCACATATATGCGCGATATACATTTTATAGATCCGTTAGAAAGATCGGTACTGCTCGTTATCCATCAAGTTAAAATTTAAATCAAGTCTTATCGATTGCATATTTTAGCTGCCACATGTAATTATTGTAATATTGTATCTGCAACTGAAACTTGTAACGCGTGCAACGAGCATACACGTGTGTTCTACAGATTTACATTAGTCGATTAATTCGCGGCGGTGAATAATCCTTGACTTGTGAATGACTAATTAATTAGACTTTGAACTTTGTAAGTATCCGTGAACGTAGAACGAGCGTTGCTGTAAGAAGCAGGTATGAAACAGGTCGATGACCTGTTCATGAAACAGGTCACAATGCCTCCTGAGATAAAGACATTTTGACAAACCTACCGTTTATTTGTTTGGAATCTAAACGTCGCTAAGGAAAATTCATTGTGGGATAGAGTGCGACCATTTAAGCGGTGATTTCGTGCACTTTGCACTATGGATTAAAAAAGGTATGTTTCTCATAGAGAATAATTGACATGGAAATAATTGAATTACAAAAAGTTTGCAAAAGTACGCAAAATTTAGAAATATAAACGATATTTAAATTGAGTATTAAATATCAATTGATAATTTATTAAAATATCCTACAAGTATATAAATAAATAAATATATATATATATATATTTATAATTATATATATATATATATATATTATATAATATATATATAATATATATATAATTTCATTTTTTTTCTCTTTTATCGTATTTATTATGAAATCAGTATGTAACCTTGATTGTTAATTAATACCTAATTGTTGCTCAAAATATTTGTATTGGAACGATCGCCATGATCGAAACATATTGTTAATAACATTATAATATTTCGTTAATGACATATTACGCGTGAATCATTGGCTGTTTAAGAGAGTTCATGAGATCTTTCCGCTTCAAACTGTTTACATAATTACGAGCTTCATTATGTTTACGAATATTGGCGCGCGGGATGAATCGCGCTTGCAGTTGAGATTAATTAAGTTTACACGTAACGGCCGCTGCGAATTATGACTGTCCGAAATCTCGACGGGCGACGCGTTTGACCAAATGACCCCGAAGATTTGATAAGAGGAGGCAACGTCGGTGCAAAGTCATCGATCGGCACAATTCGCGAATTATGATGCAAGCAGCCGATTATGAGACCGCCCGTTATTTCTTCGCGCGGCACGTAGGCATTCATTGCGAAGTGTAATCTGCGCAAGCTGGCCAGTCAAAATATATTCGCGTCAGCGTATCCATGCGCGGAGTAATATTTTCAATCGCGATAAATTGCTTGTAACGACACTTGTCACTTACTTACCATGATCAATGTTAAATATGCATTTTATCGTGAGATGATTCTTCACTTTCGCTTCTAACTTGATGCTTCAAATAGCAGATATCAAGGTAATATTGATATAATAAATTCAATATGTGTCTAATTCTTTAATTATCAATAATTCATATAATTATATGATACGATCAGTAATATGTTGTAATTTGATTTTCAATAATATACCGTGCAGAAGAAATATAGTTAAATTAATTGGTATTGCTTCAGATTTTTTGAATTGTTAGCTATAGTAACAATAAGATAAATCAACAATTTAACTACTAATTACTAATCTTATAATAAATATTGATAAAAATTTGTTTTATTTTTGTTCCAAAAATTATGTGGCAATACATTTTCTATAAATTAAAATCAAAATGTGTTATAATTAAAATGAGATTGATCATCGACGTTACGAGTTTAGAAGAAAAATTTATGTACATATATAGTAAAACATATAATACATATTGTAAGACATTTCATTATTTCTAAATAACAGTTTATTTCCGTTTACTTTTATAATAATATAAAATACAAAAATATTACAACATTTAATTACGATGTTATCTATAAACAAATATAGATATCTTAGAAATATCTGTATCTCTATCATCGTGCAATATAATAACGTTCAATTTATCTCTACTTTATAAAAATATTTATGTTTATCACTATTCAATAATTCAATTTGTCTTATCTTTGTGCATTTTTTTATCAGTTCTTTTCACACAGCTCATTATCTTGATTGGATAGGTTTAATAAATAAATAAAAATTATTAACTAATTCTTAATTCGATGTGATGGCAAAGCGTTCGAACAGTAATATATCAGTAATGCATTTCTATTTGATACCTACATAAGACACTATTAAATCTAATTATTTAAACAAACAATTTTTCTCAGCATTTTAAAGCATTTTTATCTGACGTAAACATCGTGCCGTAATTCTAATTCCTTTTTTTAAATCAAATAAGAGATGCGGATATTGGAAAATCTTCAAAAGCCACTACTGAGAAACCGAAATGAGATTGAGCTAAAAATTTATTTATAGAATAAATTATGCTATAAACACTGCGAGAGGAATAGAAGGAGCAAATATTCATTTTCAAAGTTCCACGATGTTTGCCACATCTTCCAAACGAAACGATCACCCATCGACGATGAGATGCAACGAGACCACAGCCGCATAAGCGCCACAGCAAAGTTAGCAAAGCAGTATGATGTACCCACAGACATAATGTCTACGTACCCCACCATGGGATAGAGGAAGTAGCTCTTTGCAGGGGGCTTTCCCCACCAGAAACCCTAGGGCAAGAAGCCTCGTGGTCTTTGGCCAACGAGGCCCAAGCTTGGACCCATCTCTCTAAAGAAATGCCCCCAAACATCCCCCACGCCTGCAAACGTACGTCGTGAACGGCGTACCCACCCCCCTCCACCTGTTCCCCCACCCGATATCCCACCACTGATACTCACGGCAGATCGCCACCCCCTCCTCCAATTGTTCCAAGGGACTACTGGGGGACCGTCAAGTCTGATGACTCACTATATAAGAGAGGCAAGGACAAGAAGGTGTACACTAGTACTCAATCCTTCCGTGGCTCGCACAGTTCACGACGTGGCGAGCGGCGGCGAATTCGGCTGCCGCGGTGACCGACTTTTTTCTCTCTCTATCTCTCTTCTCCTTTTCCTTCTCTTCTTCCTCTCATTTTCCTTTTTCCCCTTCTCCCCTTTTGCCTTCAAACTATTCGTTATCATCTTTTTGAAAAGCCTCCCACTTCCTGGCAGTGGGGAGGAGCTGCTCGTAGTTTATCCTTCCTTACGGTCAGACATCGCTTATTTGCTTCACGACAGTAGTCGCGGCATCATTAAATATAAAGACGTAGAGTCGAACGGACATAGTACGCTCAAGCAAACGGAACTCTTTTCTTTTTTTTTCGCATCAAGAGGCTAAGAAAGAGAAACGTACAGATATAGACTTCGTGCGGTACATATACGTTCAGTGATAACCACAACAACAGACACTCGAAGACATTTATAGGAGCTTCGATAGAGCGGGTCCTTGATTAATCAGTGATCCGTGATCGATACGAGATGTTGGAAAAAATTGGGCTATGGCTTTGGTACAAGATGGGTGGTACCGGGCTCGAGGTCCTTTACACCTTTCTGGTGTTCGTCGTTGTTATTTTTCTGGCGATGAAGTTGATAGAGTATTGGAAATACACTTTGCCACCCGGCCCATGGGGGATACCGATCTGCGGCTACTTACCCTTCATCAAAGGCGACTTGTACATGGAGTTCGGCAAGTTGGCTAAGAAATACGGTAGTACATTCAGCGTCCGCTTTGGCTCCGACTTGATCGTCGTTCTCAGCGATTATAAGACCATACGCCAGGCATTCCAACTCGACGAGTTCAGCGGCAGACCGCACAACGATTTCATGAACATCCTCGACGGATACGGTAAGTGTCTGGCAGATTCCAATAATACGCTTTATCTCGCGACATTAGCTCTCATATCATCGGGACGGGTTAAAGCACTCCGCACCGACTGTCTCGTCTTTCGCGTGATTTCACGTTTCATCGGTTTTATCGGAGAGTTCTTCGCTCGTGACGCGCGTTGAAATTATTCTCAATGCCACTAGCTGATACCGAAAAATTTCTTTTAGTGCGCATTCTAAGCGAAACTGACGTAGCGAGATTAGGATATTCGAGAAAACTTGACAGATGACTTCTCTTATACGCGATCGTTTCTACATTTTCCGAACCGGTCGCGTTTTCGATGGGTCAGAGCTGCGGGTTTCCACGATCGCTTCTCGGTCAATGCTAACTTGTGTTTCGACGTGTTGCAATCGATTGTCCGCGGACAGACCGGTATCGTGAAAATAAATCGAATCTGCGGGTGACGCGTCGCGCGCGCATAACACGAGAATTCCCCGCGATTCAGCATCGCTCTTGTTGCTGTTGTAGGCGTCATCAACACGGAGGGTGCCTTGTGGAAGGATCAGAGAAAATTCATTCATACCATGTTTGGAACGTTAAGCAAGAAGGACGGCATAAAATTTTTAGACAATATGATCACAGTGAGTATTGAATTCGGATAAGACTATAATCTGATCGATTTTATCTTACATAACGGATATTATAAAATTTTAATTAAAATAATTATTTTTTTCTTTACGTAATAATTTAAAAATGTAATATATATATAAAATATTTAATTTAACGATGCAATATGATATATATAATATAAACTTGAGATATACATTTTTTTTTAATTTACAATATTTTATACTTGAATACAATATATAAAAATATTTTTCTTCTCAAATTCTTCAAAATTTCAATTCAAAATCCTGAAAAATAAACAAACATAATAATTTTGATTTAGAACGAGGTCCAGCTACTTCTTTCGGAGTTGGAGAAGCGACATGGGGATCCCATAGACCTCTCGATTTATCTTAGTGTATCGATCAGCAATGTGATATGTGAATTTACAATGAACGAACGCTTTCGCTACGACGATGAGAGATTCAAGCGATTCATGAATCTTATTAATGAAGGATTCACACTCTTCGGTCGCTTGACGTACGCGAATTATATACCTATATTGCGCTATTTACCAGGCATTCATAGCGTTCGAAATAAAATTGCGCAAAATCGAACGGTAATGGCTAATTTCTTCCAAGAGATTATTGACAAACATAAAAGAACAAACTCATACGAGGTAGAAGATTCTATTTCCGACGTCGTTGATGCCTATCTGTACCAAATTAAGGAAGCCGAGAAAAAAAATGAGGACCATCAACTTTTCCAAGGAAAAGATAAGAGTAAGCAGAAATTGATTTTTTAGATTGATTTTTTTCAAAGAATACATTACGCCAGTTCTAAGCTTCAGTTCATTGTTAAAAGCAATATTAATCACGTCATCATGATTCATATAATTTAACGATTTATAATTCGAACGCTTCTTTGAACGGTTGGATTTTTTTTCTTTATGCAGATCGTCAGATACAACAAGTTATGGGCGATCTCTTCTCCGCTGGTATGGAAACGGTGAAGAATACTCTGCAGTGGGCGGTGGTTTTCATGTTGCATTACCCGGAAGCGGCGAAGGCGGTGCAGGACGAATTGGATCAGGTCGTAGGAAGAGCAAGAATACCCTTATGGGAGGATATGTCCAAACTTCCGATCACCAACGCGACGATTCAAGAGATTCTTCGCAAATCCAATCTCGTGCCGCTCGGAACGACGCACGCCACCACACGGTAAATTGATTTTCGATTTATTGCTCCCGTACGATCTTGCATCCTTCGACGAAAATCTTCTCCGTCATTTTTTTTCTCAATCGCATCACATGGGCTCGGCCCTTTCCCTTTCTCTCTACGTAAGCTAAGAGCGGATTTCACAACGGGTCCTCACCTTCCTTCTCGGCTTTCCGTGTCTGGCTAGCAGAACCTTGCGCACACGATCGTTTTGAACGATTATATTCGGCGAGTAAAAGTGAAAGGTGTGTTTCTCTCTCTCTTTCTCTCTTTCTGACTCTGTGTGAGTGTGCGTGTGTGTGTATGCACGTGCGCGCATATGTGTGTGTCTCTTCTGTTTTTTTTTGCCTTTTCAATCTCGCCTTTTTGGTCAGAGGCGCCTTAAGGTCAATGACTGCAAATCTCGTACAATTAGTCTATTGGGACCGGAGGTCGGATTCCGATACTTGTTAAGAATACATGCTCACGCAACGGGTCGCCGTTAGAAACGGCGCGGGTGGTTTCACTTCTTTGCAAAGAACGCGGTCAGAAAGAGCGTGACGAGCACACGTGCGCGCGTGTAAAAAGTCAAGTTGATACTTCACCGACGAATAAATATAGTTGATGACCGTTGAAATTTGCGGTTATCAAGCGTTAAGCGCGGCATTTAAAATTTACGTGAAATTTTAGATTTATACATATCATGCCTTCTCTTTTAGAAAATTATTAATAACGAAGGAAGCCAGTTTTTATCGCGATATAATAAAAAAAAAAGATCTTGACCCTTTTGAAAGTCAATTATCTATACCAATTATCGATTAATTGCCATTATTAGCAAAATATTTATAAAAATGTCTAATTAATGTTACAGGGATGTGACATTGAATGGCTATAATTTACCAGCCGGCACTCATGTGATACCGCTATTGTCTGCCGTGCATATGGATCCGATCTGGAACGATCCAGAAGACTTCCGACCTAGCCGTTTCCTCAATGAGGGTACTGTCACAAAACCGAAATACTTCATGCCATTCGGATACGGTAAACGAAGATGTTTAGGCGAAAAACTGGCACACATGGAGATCTTCCTGTTCTTCAGTTCATTGATGCACAGGTTTAACCTGAACCTGCCTGAAGGTGAATCATTACCCGACCTGCAAGGCAACGTCGGCATCACAATATCGCCGGCGCCTTTTAAAGTTTGTTTACTGAAGAGAGAGCTGATAGGCTGTGACATCAATGAAAACATCTTCAATCATGGGTCCCTGCGTAAGTTTGGCAGTTAAGTGTCCTCAACGGATTCCAGAGTACGGGCACGGTATTTGTTCCTATTGTCCGACAAAGAGAAGAGAAGCCGCAAGTTGAATGCTGACGCCATGGGGTCCATCCACGCTAGCGCATGCACGCATCAGCTAGAATGGACGCTCGTAAGTTTAATTGTAATTATCATAAATTTTATCGAAAATTCAATCGATTGAAAATTGAGTAAAAATCGATCTAATAATAGTGTTTTTTTTTCTACTCGTAATTTTACTTGTATCTAAGTTAAATATATATACATAAGCTCATGTATAGGCTCTCGAGCGTGTACCTAATACTCGACAGGCCCGACTAATCCGTTTAACTTTGGTACGGCGAGATCTCGTACGACCCCATTTTTAATTAGTAAGTTTGTCATTTTATTATTAACGAAAACACTACTTACAATTTTGTTTTGTTTTTATCTCTAACGACGTCGAAGTTTTGAAAGATCTACGATCTTTTTTATTCTATTCTTTTTTAATTCGCGACCTCGCCATACCACAAGCGTGGATTTTTTCACCGCGCATACGAAATTAAATGAACTCAAGCTGATAAATAATTTGAAAGAAAAAAAAATAGTCAACCGCGTGTAGTAACGTGAGTGTCATCAAGCTGCTAATTGTGATACCGTTATCACAATCCCGTTAAAATTCTAAGTAGTCATCTTATTATACTGGCGCCGAGACTATAATGATAAGTATAGATAAGTTCTTTTTGGCTGCGGAGGTAACACTTCTTTGAGAGACTAATTAATTTAGCAATTTATTGCTTGGATCGAACAAAATCGGAGAGTACAAAAGTAGTCTATACTCCGAAACATTTCTCCCTATCTCCTTCTCCTCCCCTTACTCTTCCATCCTGAACTCATTACACCAATTTCCCGATCGTCCATGAATATTTATTGCTTTGCGAATGTTACTTTGCTCCCGTTTCCACCCTTGCTCCTCGTCACGTATTTATTCGCGCTTAGTCTAGATCGACGAGGATTTCGACGTGTCGATCTTGACGATTTCGACAACGATTTCGTATCTGACGGCAATTCTGCCGTATTGTAGTAAATCATGGCTCACAACGGGATATTCGTTGAGAATTATCGGTTTGTCACGTTAGCGACATCAATGACTCCAAATGCAATCGATTTCGTGCCTAATAAATAACGTCAATCCTGCCGTATTGTATACTAAATCGTCTAAATCAGGATTCTCACCGAGATGTCTCGTTGAGCTGTCATGACGTGTTAACTACTCCAAATGAAACTGATACGCGATCAAACGAACGCCGTCGATTCGCCATAGATCTCCGCGGACGAACGGGAATAGCGGCTCGTTATCCGATGCTCCTCTTTCGTTCATGATAATAATAATAACCCATTATTAAGATAGAAAGACAGAGTGAGTGAGTGAGTGAGTGAGTGAGTGAGAGAGAGAGAGAGAGAGAGAGAGAGTGAGAGAGAGAAGCAGTATATTTGCGTAAGGAAATAGGTGATAAATTTAATTTGCAAATGTTATGCATTAAATATGCATGTGCATGCATACATAGCTGGTCGACGAATCACGTGCCGTTTGACGAGAAAAATGCGAGACTGCCCTTGCACCCGAGACCGCTCGCGCCAATATCGCGGTGTCGTTGACTTTTCTAACGACTTTTCTAGCAGCGCGGGCCGCGCCGGCATGCCGGTTGATCGGCCAATGAGCCAGACAGAACAGGCCAGGCCCGTGAGCGATTTTCGTGAAAGTCGCCGTTGTGAGATTCCGTTGCGACATCCATTCGACGACGCGACCACGCGGCGCGGCGCGGCGCGGCGCAACGCAGCGGCCGTTCGGAAATGATAGAATGAATATCGATCAGAAGCCGATCGGGTCGGGTGCGAGCGCGGAGGCTGTGAATCTAAGAGACCCGGGATGTACGGTCGACGAATCATTGTGACGTCGTCCAATCCGATTTCCCAAAGATATCCCAGGCTGTGCATCCTAGAAGCGGGCGAGGAGTCGTGCGCAGTGACGTTACCCGATCCCGAGACTGGAAGCTCCGGGTCCGTGTATCTGCTCCTATAAGTTATTTAAGCGTTACACGACGACTGATGGACCCGCTTCCATTGGGATCGACGCTGCGCGCTCCTTCGTTCAAGTATCCGATAGGGCGTTAATTAAGTCTTATCTTAGCATGCATGAATTACGCCGCATTGTGTTCATCCAGCGAAGGACAGCGAAGAACATTTAACGTTCTTCTTACTTTTGTATAAAATAAAGATGTTGTACAATTGAAATAATCGTCCGATTTAATTGATTCCTCCCTACCACCACAATCACTAATAAAAAGAGATTCTCTCTTATTATCAAAAATTCACTTAAGAAACTCAAAAGACATTCATTTGATTCTGGAAAGACTTCAAAATACAGAGTACAAATTTTATTATTTTAAAATAATAAAAATAATAAAATAACAAGCCTATTCACGCACAATTCTATATTATTTGGAACAACAATATTTAAGATGAGATATAGAAATATCGCTAGAGATCGGCTAGGTGTACCAAGGAAACGTACATTACTATTCGTAACGGTGACGAGCCGAATATTCCGAGAAATCAAATTCTTTATCGATCGTTATCGCGAAAAATTTCGTCTGGAAATTGCAGTCTTCGGAACCGGATTCTTAAGGATGAGTTAAAAAAACTTGTGGCTCTTCAGCTGCATGCGCACCATAGGCCTTCGACTGTGATCGTACGATCTCCGAGATCCCTTCCTGCCGCTGCTCAACTTCGAGGACTTTTGCTCCGGGCCTACGAAAGAGGACTGAGCTGGGCCTAGCTTTCTCTTCCACTGGTCCGCTCGATCTCGCATTTGGTAGGACGCTTTTTTTTTCAATTCGTATAGCCATTCGTAATTAAAGATAGTCACAAATAGATCCGATCTCGCTGATTACTTTAACTGGGTGGTTAAAAAGGAAGCTAGAATTAATTAGCATCTTAATTGAAAGGAAAAACAAACGAGAAATTGCTGCAACATTTTTGTGATATTAATGATAATTATCTATTTAAACGTTAAATAATTGGAAGGGACTATAGATGTTTTGTCGTCATATATTTTCAGATATTGTCTATTGGATTAATCGCTGTTTAATCAGATTTTTATTAATTAAAATTAACGGCTTATACAGCTTGAGCTTGAATTAATTATCATTAATTCGATATTTTCGCGTATAAAATCTCAACGATTGTTGAAACTTGAAGAAGAAAAATTTGGAAGTCTGTTGGGGTAATTATTTACTGATCCTCTCTCTGTCAATAATCCCGCGAGTTGACTCGTACGAACGGTACGTAAGATTCACGTGGCACCGCAGAACGAGAGACGAGCGCTTAACGTGCACACGCGCGCGCGCACGCGCTTATATAAGAGAAACTCGCGCGTTCTGGGTTTCTAACGAAATATCGTCAACGAGTACATTACGCCGGGTAAGGTTAATGACACGAGTGTCAAGTGGCCCCAAACCGCGCACAAGTTACGTAAGGTCAGCTCAGCTGGCCGCCTCAGTTCGTCCCGGGGACGATGCATTGATAATGGCGCACTTCCTGCACAATATCGTACACGCGAAAAACGCACATTCGTGTCCCAGGTGTACAACCGCCGACACGTGGCGCCTGCTGCCCCAGTAAGGGCCCTTTTACTTCGCGCTTCATAACTTCGTGGCCTTTTCTCGCCGAAGAGTCGGTCGAGCGCCAACTGGCCTGCCACAGTAAAGACAGAAAGTCTGAAGAACCGTTGCTTCGAGGCTTGGTTCAATGAAGCAGGAAGAGGCGTTTTGTGGTTTATTTTCTTTTTTTTTATTACCCAGCACAAAGTTGAAAGTATGTTAGAGCAGGGTCTTTTTACGGCCCGGAGATCGCTTGGATTTCTTCATCTCTCACCCGATAGAAATTCGGCCTGACGCGATATATTTCAAAAAGTCAAAAAGTTAACTAATATATCGTTTCCATGTAAGAATTAGATTGCAGCGTTTTGTTTTATTCGTCTTATACTATTTAAGCTGCATTTATATATTTGCATTTTGTTCAAATTTTTACAATATTCATTATTTACAGTTTACTTTGGCGCTTACAGCGCTTGTGAGCATCATTTGTCCTTCTTTAACATTTGATAAAAGACAAGAATGAAGTGATGCTGTAAGCGTCAAAGCAAACGCAGCCTATATATATAGCTGCAAGGTCTCAAAACAAAAGAGCAGTATTAATAAAACGACTTTTTTCCCTATCCCCTATACGGAGTAATGACTTATTCCGGATAGAGTGTGCTATTTGGCTATTTATTATTTGTTATACAATGAAATTTCCCAGTAACACTTAGAATGCATTAATCGGTATTAGTAACAAGAGCCAGGCTTTGAATGCGTTCATTTCGGAATCTCTTGTTCGGAAAATCTCTCCGAAAAAATTTGTAAAAATCTCTAAAAATCCTAAACAAAAAAAAAATGAATTGTCTCTTTACAACGATCTTTCTTTCCTTGATTTTCTATTCTTTTTATGCATCCTGGGATTAGTAGGAAACGCAGCTGCCAATTTCACAGTGGGTGAACGGTGCGCTTGTAGTTCACCAAGGCCACTACATTGTGAGATAAAAATGCGTGTTACATAATGCTGACGGAATTTCACGAATCCGATGCAAGAAAAAGAAGAGTGAAAGAGAAGGAAAGAAAGAGAGAGAGAGAGAGAGAGAGAGAGAGAGAGAGAAACGCGAGAAAGAGCGAAGCGAAGGGGCGGCACGGTTTATGTAAAATCATCTCCCAACGCCCGTAATCGCGGTTGACATTTTAACACAGACTTGTGTCTTTATATTGGGAACGCACGCGGTGGTAAAAAAAAATTAAAAAAAAGTGCGCCATGCGCAATGCGTAAAATACAAACAAAATGCGTGCGAATAAGTGTCGCTTCATTTCCAGAGGGTGGACATTTTCTCGCAGTTCGCCTCGCTCCGCGCGTTTTAATAAAAAGCGTTCGTTTTAATATCGACGGGCTGAGATATTCGTCCGATGTCGAAATTTAACTGCCGCGGTTTGCAATATCACGCTATAAACCGGCACACGACTGACATCCTGCAGCGTTCGCTACCGATCTCGTTAATGTCTGCCTCGTGAGAGACATACATGTAAAACCGAGGCGCATGTTGTTCTTTGATTTCATTCGACGTACAATTTGGCGCAAGTAAAAAAATGACTGGATAGCGCATATAGTAAATATTATAGACGTAGCAAGTATAGACTGCGCTTTCCCTATATAACTGGAACTTATTGTTAGCATCTGTGCTAAAAAGAGAACGTTGCAATCTTTCTAAATTGAAAGCAACAATTTCAAGGAATGCGCAGTCTATACTCCCTATGATAAATATATCTCGGTACATACAAAAACAAATGCGAAGAGTAGAAACAAGAATCTAAGAATTTCGACATGCAGGCTTCTTCATCTTTGCTGTTTTCTTTCCATTTTTATTTTTATTTATATTTTTTTTATATGTTCCTGCTGTCAGCTTTCATTCTTTCTTTATAGTATTTAAAATTTCTTAGTTTTTCTAGTCAGATAACATTGTGTACAAATAATATACAATCAAAGCGCGCGCGCGTAGAATATAACAATTAATATTTGGAGCAGGAGCTAATAAAGAATAAGTATTATTATCAATTATTTTTATGTATACTTTTAATTAATGTGTACATATTATGTGTACATATAATATTTCCATAAAAAAATATTTTTTACAAATATACTTTGTTGCATAGAATGTTACACATATGAAAAGATATCATTGCGCATGTATGTATTAAGCTTATTCCCGTGATGTAAAAATTAAACGGTGCGGTTTTGGTACTAGAGTAATTCCGCACTCGCCTTCCAGATCGATATGTGTACCGGATGGTATGGAGATAACGAATGAATGAAGAAATCTTGCGGCGAACAGAAATAACATCATCCTGGCTAGTTCGTCGCCGACGCACATACGTTTACCTACCGCATTGTATAAAATGAAATAATGTTCGGTATCGTGTGAAACTAATCTTTCCGGAAATTAAAGGGTATATGAAAATGATCGAAATTTGCCTTGAGTTGAGAAACTAATTTCATATCATTTCTTGATGTATAAAAGGGAAAAATAACATTTATAATCATGACATCTGCATAAATTTTATTAAATGGTTGGGACAAAAATGCCTATAATTATCTAAACGTGCAGGTATGCATATATATATATATATATATAGATATATATATGTATACGTGCTTTTTGCAAATTCAGATGGTTAGGTATTTCTGTCCCTGTGCGTACGTGCTGTTTTGGTCACAAAGTCGCAGAAAATCTGACACGTCTCTCATATATACGTCGCAACGACGTAACATACCAAATAATTTGTTTTAATTAACCAGCTATTTATTGGATTTTCTATATATTGTGATTCATATTTCGAAAATAGCATGTCCTACGTACCTGTCTGATATGGTAAAAAGGCTTTCGGTTTGTCCAGATTTCCATCCTCAGCAATAAATCTTTCAGGTTTAAACAATGATGGATCGTGCCAATACGAAGGATCAGTGTGAATAGCCCATTGTAACGGAATAACCATGGTGCCCTTTGGTACGTCGTAATCGCCTATTTGGGTGTCCTGAATGCAAATCGCCCTCTTTATGAATATATTATGAGTCTTTATGAATATATTTATTTTACGCGCGCACGATAAGATAAGCAACACCTATAAGTTCAACCGTTCAATCGTTTGTTGTTAATATATTATATATCGATAGAGAATATTCAATAATTATCAAAATCATAACCAGGCTTATTCGACTTCATGGAATAAAACGTACAGAGAAGCACCGCACCATCTGTTGATTTTCTCAGTCTGTTACCTGCCATAATTACCTCTATTGTTCCATGAGGAATGCCAACCGGTACTACACTCCGTAATCTTTGTGTCTCCGCAATGGCCGCCTCCAATTGAATTAAAAGTGGCCTGTCGTCCAGACTGGGTAACTTTCGTCCCAAAATTTCGTCCATTTCATCCTGAATCTTTTTCTATATACAAAAACAAGGACGCGTAAAATTCAAAGAGATTGTATGGCGGGTCGATAATTTTTCATTAAGAAAAACGTTCGTTTTAAAAGGTATTTCTATTGAAAAGGCACGAATTCAAGGATAACAAGCGTACTTGCTCGTCCGGATATACCGCCATAAAGAGTAAGAACCAACGAAAAGTGGTAAGAGTGGTGTCAGTTCCTGCACCGAAAAGATCGGCTAGCAGATGATAAAATTGCTGTTGTGTGAAATATCCGTTGTCCGCATTGGTATTCATTGCGTTGTCGAAAGCCGCAAGAAAGTTATCCGTTTTCTCGCGTTGAGCACGATGCTCGTCGATGATCGCTTGATATTGTTGATGTGTTTTCAGCTTGCCATTGATAAGTGACTCCATTAATTTGCCATATCGTGGTAAAAATCTAAATAAGTTAGAGAAAGGCAACAATTCTCTTTTAGTATTTAATTCATGTAGGTAGAAATTAATTACTTAACTTTTAATACGCGTTTCGTGTTGTAACTTTAAAATTTAAAATCAGTTCAATCTTTAAGCAGGGCTAAGAAAGCTAGTTTTTAAAAGTAACTCGTTATTGTTACCGTTACTTAAAAAGTAACGATTCATTACTTTTTTCATTACTTCTTTAATGTTAAAACAAGATTAGACTAAAAAATTTACTTTTGTAATATTTTTAATATATGTATTAACAAAAGTAATGAAACTGTTTACCTTAAAACTTTTTACCTTCGCAAAATCACCAAAATTTAAGAGAAAAGATATTTTAAAATGTTCGAAATATAAATAAAATGTTGGTTTTCGTTAAATTTATAAATACCGACTTTATATTTTTTATTTATATTTTTTTAGATTCTCAATTTTATGTTTAAAAACTTTAACACGATAAGCAGCTTGGTGAACGCTTAGTGATTTTTTAATACGATCAATTCTTTATTGAATCTAACAATAAATATCGAAACAACAATCGTAATATAAAATTACTGAATGCTTACTAAGAGATCTATTGATAGTAGCCATTTGCCAACCTTCCATCGGGAAATGGCGGAAGGGTGGTGATCCAAATGGCTACCAGTTCTGGTGAAGAATAAGACATAGTTTCGTATAAGAAGAACGCTTATTGAGTTACTTTGCCTGCTGTAGTTTATAACAACAAATTATGAATATTGATTGAAGATTGATTGTAAAAATTATGTTACAAATAAGTTTAAAATTTAAGAAGTAACCATTACATTCGTTACCGTTATAAAAAAAAATGTAACTACGTTATCGTTACAATTACAAGAAAAAAAAGTAACGCCGTTATAAAAAAAAATGTCTATAACGGTAATGGCGTTATAAGTAACGCGTTACTTCTCAACCCTGCCTTAATTTAAATATGCTTTACTCATGTCAAGAAATATATTTCTTGCGTACAATATATATCGACTTACACTATGTAAATAAAATGCATATATAAACTCTAAATGTAAAAAAAAAGGTAGAAAATATATCGAAATAACGAATATGTGTCAACGCGCGCGATTATCACAATATCCGTATATTAATGATGTAATTACGTTATCTTACATCCGCTTTACCATCGTTAGACTAAGCTAATTTGATTTTATAATTATAACCTTTTGTTGAGGACATCTTATCGACAGCCTTCCAGTCTCTAACTTATGCAAATTTAATATGATGATTTAACATGAATAAAATTGTCCTTCGCGCTATTTTTTTTTTTAAACAAAGATTTGTATTTACTCTTTGCCATCCACTTCAATTTATCATGTCACTTGCATACGTACAAAAAGGCAATTACTTCTAGCCTTCCATGTTTATCGAATTATACCATCGCCTTCAATGAAAAAAACGGCATTTGCATGGTAGATGCTGAATGAATCAGTATCACATTGTCAACGTGTTAATTAATCGCGCGGATCAATTTACTCGATTTTTTTCCCCGCGATAATATGGTCTATACTTTTCGTTAGCGAGATACAAAGCATATATCGTGTGCTATGCAAATCGGCGAGAAGGATCATCGAAGGCTCTTAGGATCTCGAGAGATAAGGAAGAATGTGTACCTGAGAAATGGCAAAAAATTGAGCGGCCCCGCGACCCCGATGTGCTTCACTCCTTCCTCTTGCAGATGTCTCAGCCACTTCCACACCTTGTCGTCCTCCTTGTAAACTTTACCAAACACGAGGTCGTTCATCATATTACCCACGTAGTGATGAAGCGTCTCGAACGGATCAATATCATCTTCCATACTAAGTTTCTTTAGTTTCTAACAATAAGATATCAATACAAAAGGTATCTCATTATTCTCTGCTTCATTCTTCGTGCATCTTGAGCTAACGCGGAACGATTTTGAGAAACGCATTAGTAATACTTCAAATTCGCATTTTTGTGTTTGCTCCTAATATACCGGATATTTAGGCAAAATTTCTTTCCTTTCGAAATCATACACCCTGAGTGCCTGTTTTTACGTTAAGACTATTAAGCGAAAACGATGGCATCGAAATGTTACAGAAATTAATAGCTTCATTAAATACGATGACATTTCCAGATAAACAAATGTTAACTTGCACGAGTTGAATATTCCTTCTGGAAATGAAATGTTCGGTCATCGGCGTTACTCGTTTAGGGGACAGATTTAGTGACACGGCGGCCTTGTGTTAAATACTCTAGCCGTTAATTTACCGACGTGCACTCGTTCACGGCCGCAAGGATTCTTTCCTCCATTCTGTTTCTCTTGGCACCGGGTAGCTTCGTCATGCCGAAATTCTTCAAGCATCCAGCTACAAATCTTCTTTGATCCCTCCAAAGGTCACCCTCGGCGCAAATGAGACCTGTGTAGTGCATAAAGAAATACGACGATGAGAGTGTCGTTCGAATTTCCTTCCTCTCCTCCACCTTCTTCTTCTTTCTCTTTCCTTTCTTCGCAGGCGATCCTCGTCCCGCATCTTAATCGCGCGGCCATAAATAAGCCGCCACCCGAACGTGCCTCCGTCGCACGTTCCCTCTTGCCGCGTGGAGGCGAGCCGCCTCGCTCGCTGCAGGTGGGAGGGTGTAAAAAATAGCGAGAGGATTACCGTCATTCCGTAAGTAGGCGCAGCCACTGAACTCGCCGAAGGATAATCCTCGAATGAATAAACAATAATCTCTCACCGCACCCACTCACCGTCCCTCCCTTCGCGGCGTGCGCGCGTGTTCGCGGCATAAACCTGCAGGCACGGCGGTCGTCGATTAATAGCGATCGCGATTGCTGATTAGGCACGACGGCGATAGTGACAAAGTGTTCATCGCCACTGACGCTATCCGTTCGATTCCTTTTGTTTTCCGATTATTACCGTTTGTTCCCTTTAATTGCATTCTCTAGATTTTTTTTCCAGTCTCCCTTTCTTTGATATGTGTGCTTTCACATATTTATCTTTTATTTATGTCTTCAAATAGAAAACATAAAAAAGTGATAATGACAATTGAGCATAAGATAAAGGATAAAGTCTTGGGATTTAAAATCACTCTCATATACGCGTGGCGGTCGCGCTTATTAGCTCAATGAAAACAGTAATTATCTTTTTATTCAGGTGATGCTGGGTAATTAAGAGATCATTAAGAGCGAGAGACGAGACTTTGCGCGCCGAAGTTTATGCATCTGCGCCACGGCGGTGAAGGTGTGTCGCTTATGTAGTTTTACTACGTCGACTTTGCAGCCAGATCACACGCGAGTGTCGCCGGCGCGAGAATGATCTCGGAATCTTGATCATCGGTCAATGAGATTATCGAGGTTTACGGTCGACGTGCCACGGGAATACAGATCGGCATCTTTGGCGCACAATTTGTTAGATGGTATCTCGGATCCTACTATCTCTTTCTTTACGTTACACGCGCACGATATAGCCTTATCAGTTATATAATGGGAAAAAGATAGAATAAGAGTACAAAATGTACATACTCGTACATAGCAAGATGTTGCGATTTGTAATCGAATTTTTAATCGAACGTGCCGGGAATGGGACCCGCCTTGATTTTCAGCCGCGCGCACGTTTCCGAGGAACGAAAGTGAACTCATGTATCGGGAGAGAGAGAGACGTGCGTTTAAATTCTGCGAATTTAGAATTCGTCATGTTACACGCTCGGGAGCGACGAGAGAAGAAATAATGAAAGTCCGCTAGGGTATAAACAGGTCACCGTGCGCGATGCGTATTTGCGATACTATTTATCATTCGCAGCTTGTTCTACGAGGCAGCGCTGTCGATAGGTCAGTGTCGTATTTAAATGACGCCAAGAAAACTTTCCGGGATCGCAGGTGCGCCACGTGTGCATTAATCTCCGCTGCTTGATCGATCTTAAATCACTTTGCACGAAGAAATAAAATTCGCGTATACCCAACTGAACTTTCGATCAAATGAGTTTCCTCGTACTATACTTTTTATAAAATTTTAAATATAAAAGAGAGAAATCTTACTGTTTTTCATTCATCAAGCATTTCAATAACTAATTTTTCTAGTTATTTGATTATTATTCGTTATGATAGATCTCTCAATAAAAATTAACGAGGTAGTTAATTCAAAGATTATTGAAAAAGCTTTAAGACAAAAAAATATCTAACTGAATGAATTGCATTTTCTTTATATTTTTAGAAGGTTTGATTGTTCTAATAATATATTGCCAAATATTATAAATTTTACAGGAACATAATAGAAACGTTTAAAAAAGAGAAGGGTGTGAAAAACGAGAATTACGTAGTTTTGAAAGAGGAATTTCTAACAGGGAAAAACTATGTACACAATTCTAACTTTGTAGTTTGCACGCTTGTTTTTCATCCTCGCAATGCATCTGCGCGGCGACGCGGCTTGGAAGAGGGAAGACTACGGACAATGAGCTCTCCTTGCCGGTCGATTCTTACGCAACTAAACACCCCGCCGCGGTGATTTCAGGGGATGACATCACTCGGGCACTCGGGTACGGCGAGGCGAGGAAAGGAGACGTACGCGCACCACACGAATTCGCGAACCGCCAGAAATAAACCGGACGAGAGACGGATAATGCATACACACGTTCGAACGTTTCAGGGCCGGTCATTCCACCTCGGCCGGCAAAAAGTCGACGTGCGAGTGCAGCAGCGCGAGATGAAGGCGACGCGCGATAGTCGTCCTGGCCAAATACAGTCGACCGATCCATCGTGCGTTTTATGGCGCGCCATTAAAATGCCACGATAGCTTTGTCGGCCGCGGTTGAAAAGTGTGACTATTCGGTAATGATCCCTTTCTCATGAGTGTCCGCGACCGAATTATGTACGAAATTCCTAAGGCTGGCTGCGCGAGAGACATTAGGAAGATGTGAGATCTGTTATACTAAATAAATAAGCACATATATATCTTAAATAAAATTAAATGAATATATTTTTTCTTTTCGGGTTTCTTAAAGCGTGTATATATATATATTTTTTTTTATAGTCGCGTCAACTTTTCTACTCGCAATAATTCAATGTTTTTATCGCGCAGGTAATTGCGAACAATTTTCCGATTGCAAGATTCGACGGATGAGTCAGAATAATCGTCGAAGGAATAATAACTAGTAGTCGAAGAATACTGAATAATAAACGATTTAAGAATTGCTCTTTAAAGATCAGAATGATTCAAATAATTTTTCTAATTTCCTATTTATTATTCAAAGAGTGGATATTTCACGAACTGTTACCATTATTCAAAACTATAAATAAACTCATCTTTTTAGGTATTGCTAGACATTTTACTATTGAAATAATTTCAAAGTCAAGAATTTGTTTTTTGGGTCATACACTTGAATGAATTAATTCATTTTTCTCATTAGCCCAGATATAGAATTCAAGGAAAAAATCATAAAATTATAATTTTTTAAAAACATTTATCAGTTTTTTATTAAATGATCGCAATTAAATATTACTCCTTTTAGCTAATTTCCTTGAAACTTTCAACTCCTATGAAGCCACAATGATAAATGATATGTTTTAAATACATTATCTTATTCGTCGAATAATTATCTACTTGTTTATCGACTCGCTCATTAATCGATCATCAATACATATGTACATGGAATTCAAGAAAAAAAGTTACGAGGCCGATCTTGATATTTGATCGCGTTTCAGTTTTTGTCGAGCGACAGGAAACCATTAAATATATATATCATTTTTTTTCTGATATGGAAATTGACACACGACGAGTTTCTTTTACGAGATGTGTATTGTATACGCAGTACATGTCGACTAATTGCGCCAGCTCGAGAAAGCTGGGGGGACCCCAGATGATTACCGGCGACCTTCGGGCGCGCGCGGGTCGTGACAGGTCGACGATGTGAACGCCGATCGTCCATGCATCGGCTCTGTCGCTCTTAACGGGAGAGGCCATCGGCCCGTCCTTGCGGAGCTAACTGTAATTCCCCGCGGATGCAGAGCAGAACTGTCGACGACCGGGAGAACTTCCTTCAAGGAGACCGATAAAAGTGAGAGTCCTTCGCGTCGATGCGCGAGCCGCGGCCGGTCCCGCGCGGCTTCGCTCGGACGTGCCTAACCTACCCAATTGCGGATAAACTCCGCTCCGTTACGAAAACGGAAAAAGATTGATGGATCCCGAACGGCAGCAAGTGATCGAACTCCGTTAGTTAAACGAGAATTGCAAGCGCGAGAGCAATTTATTTTAATTACGAATATATGATCGTTAATTGACAATAATTGCGCTTTTTTTTAAATGATTGGGAAACACACTAGTTTATAAGATAATTTACTTTCATAAGGAAATTTTCAGAACTCTGGACCGAACGCAGCGTACATTGCGGGTAACAGCTTTACAACGGCAACGATGAAAGCTGTACAAAAATAGTAGATGCGTCAATAATTATGTAGAATGAAAAAAAGGTGACACAAGGATACTGCGTGGGGAAGCAGGATCGCCGTGAGGGAAAAAATGAAATTCCACCCACACCCAGTCCGGCATTCGAACGAGGAAAACAAGCCGTCCGCGGGAAAATCGCGGACGTCTTACGTCAGTGTTACACGCGCTTGTAATAAGCCAGGCGCGGGAATAGTCTCTTGGAAGCTCGCTTGTAATGTTTATTTTGCACGCGCGCGCCTGGCTGCACCGTTGAGTCAGTACTGTGGTATGCCAAGTCCGATTGGAACTGCGACGTTTCTATAACGATTTAGATCATCGCGTTACACAAATGTTCGCCTCTGCTCGTTATCTTCTTCGAGCCCATAAAAGAAGAAGCTCACGTGGTGTGCAACCAAATTAAAAATCTATACCAATTTATTCATTTCCTGCGTGTTTTCCGATTCAATTCAATTGAAAATTTAAGAAGGGAAAGTCTGACGCGACCGATATTCTTTTCATTAAACGCGGTGAACGGAAAAGCGAAACTCAAATAAAAAAAACAGAGAAACGCATACTTCAATGTTACTTAAACTTCTCAGAAACTTCAGAGAAATCAAACAGCTCTCAACTCTAATATATACCTATATATATATATGTATATATATGTATATATATATATATATATATATAATTATCTTATAATTATTTCATTAATTTTTTCTATTTTTATTTTATAAAGTTCATCAGCTTGACTTCTGGGAGGCTTATTTATTATTATTTTTAAGTCATAATATAGTTTTGCACAACAGTAATGTAATAATTTGCAAAAAATTTGAATACAAACATCAGAAGAGACAGTCAATTTAATAAAAAATAGCGTTTTTTTTTTCGATAAAAATTCTTTTCGTGATTGTTGAAGTAAGAAAAGAACGATGTTACCCGAGCAATTTTGGTATAAGTGGCCAAAAGTCGGTCGTCCTCGTCGAAGGATCCTATTA